TATTTCCATAAGAAAATTGTTGATTAGACATTCTCCCTGAAATTTTGCATGGAACATTTGTATAATTACAATAGTGAGAAAAAAATTACGACGCTTCACAACCTTGAATGTAACTTCCGCATCAACGCCGATTGCAAAGCAAGCCGCGCTTATTACTGTTAATGCACGCTTACGCACCTAATTTACCGCAATTTCGCGAGACGGGAGAATAGATGTGCATCCTGCGACACGATGACGTGCAATCGCATACGTGTGCAAACACATCGTTAAATGTGCGTCGCAATTACGTCACCAGGTGTATCGAGTATAGCGCGCATTGTGCATTCGCAGGACGCGGCGACGCACAATAATTATTCATAATCGCATAATTATCACGAGATTTTCTTTGTATCTCATGTCTCTGCGTAATTAAGTACTCGGAACTGAAACGCGCGGTCATTGTGCGTGCATTTTTTCTTCTCTTTAATCTCGTCGCACATAAATTACCGAAAAAAAAATGTTATTTAATTATATCTCATTTTTTTGAAACCGCGTCTGCTAAGATATGGTTTTATGTAATTATCTCATTCCGACGTGTAACTCATGTGTGTCGACCTAACCAACTGGAACAGTTTCACACAGCTTCATAAAATAAATTGTATATTGTAGACAACTCGCGAGCGATCAAAGAGAGATTTGAGCTTAATAAAGACGACAATTAAAAGCAGAATAGATGAAAATGAATTGCGACATCGCGTGCAGCCAAGTTTCGGGCACGCCGAATTTCCAGCACGACCACTGGAAATACTACAAAGCGGAGACTGCCATCTTGTTGACAAATAAATTTCTAAAAGTAGGAGAGGCGCGAGGCATCTATCTCGGTCGGCATGAGAAACGAAAGCGCGCACAAAGTGGACAAGTCGTGGATAATAGACGACGACGAAGGCGTCGACTGTGACATTGTGTAGTCGATAAATAAATACAAAGCAACGAAAACAATTCGAGCGTAGATATAGTACAGACGCAATTGCAAATAAGGAGCAACGACTGAAAGACGGTTGCGACAGCAGTTTTCATACTGACAGACAAACTCCTCTCGGAGAGGAGTGGAAACTGATTCTATCTAAAATCAACAAAGAACGTTGTTGATTTGACACAGTGAAAACAATTATTTTCAAAGAAATTCAATACGATTGTATTGTATTTCATCAATTTGAATTTCATTTTTAATTTTTTTATTGTAAAATTTACAAGATACTTATTTTATTTATCTATTTTGTATATTTCTTTAGATCTTGAATTCTATTTTTATCAATTAAAAATTTATTAAAAATAAGCCTATTCAAGATTATAAATAATGAAAAATATTTTATTTTATTTAGAGCCTTTCCTGTTTTTATTAATTCCAAAGTTACTGATATCTTCACATCTCTCTCTCATTAAAGAAAGATCAAAAGAAATGGAAATCTTGGACGTAAATGCTCGTGGAAGTGTTCGCATAATGAATGTCCACAACGACGCGACCGGGAAAGTATGACGAAGAGCACCAGAGAGGAGGCGACATCAGGGGGCGATAAGGAGCCGGCAGAACGGATGGAGAACTACGGCAAGCAGCAGCCGGAGGGAAGGAAGAGAAACGGCAGTTAGGTTATGAATTATGACGTGGTGCGAGCGAGAAAGACGAATCGAATCGGTCGCGTAGGTCGTTATGAGTCTCGGGAAGGGAAACGGGAAGCCCGCCGGGTACTGGAGACGGCAAAAAGCGTGCGCAACGATACGCGGCATCGCGAGGAAAGACGGCAGTCTTCTTTAAACGAGCGCACACCCCCGACGATGACGACGAGCGATGAGAAACGCGCAAACCGCGACGAATGGGTTTCGAAACGGCGCACAGTGAGCGAACTCGGGGAATCTGTGCCAAAAATCGGTTGTACATACGAATTTGTTCGCCGATGGGGAGTCCGAATCATTCCGCTGAGATCGTTTGCCATCAGGCAACCAACCGCGACTCGCCGGCGCTGATGGTGCCGACTCGCGTTTCACACTTTTCATCCTTTATCTTTTGTTAAACTCAGCATGTGTCAGAGAAATTTCTTGAGTTGCGCATTGCCGTACGTGGTAATCGAATACATTTCACACACTAACGAGTATTTTAAACCAAATCTCTCGAATTTAATGGGTATGCAAAACTAACGAAAAAAAAAAGATTCTCTGCATTACTATTTCCAAAATTAGCATTTTGTCATTACCACGGAAAGTTTTTTATCGTTATCTTTATCTCCTTTATGTTAATGTTATTGTTAATAGTTTTGCCGTGTAGTTTTTTTGCCCGCAACTATTTCAGACTCGCAGTATCTCTTGCGTTCATCTCGCCGTGCAGTCTTTTTAATATATTGCCGATCCCGATCTTGTCAACAGCTGTAGCCTCTTTTTTTTTTTTTTTTTTTTACCAAATCTTGGGAGGCTTGTCTCACATTCTGAACAAGCCGTATCTGATCTATTCATCTACCTCGCGGCATCCGCCGTCGGTCGCGCACTTCGCTGCATTTCTACGTCACTAACGTGCATTCCACGATGCACCTTTATTCTTCTTCGTCTTCTAGCTCTCATTTGACCGCGGCGCCCACCGCTGACGTTCGCGATAATCGTCCGCCTCTTCTTTTCTTCGATCCCCGCCACTCTATTCCGTCTATTTTCGAGCTTGTTGAAAAGCCACAGCGACGTTCGCGCTCGCTCGCCATGTTCGCGAACACTTTATCCCCGATCGGATCGGGATTATTACCGCGAGAAGATTTAAGCTATGTTGCTCTTTTCGATCAGGACGAATGTGAATATCAACAATGTGGATGTTGTCTCGAAGAAGCTTTGACAATCGAAATAACGATCGGCCGATGACATTCGACATTCCTCTTCGGGAAGACGCGGAAAAAATTTGAGAGAAAAAAAAACGACGACAGGAGAACGGAAGAAACTCGGAGGCGACAAGGAAACCGCAAAGAACGATAATGACGAGACGAGAGGACGCAGAAAGCGACAGGCACAAAAGAGAGGACGGCGTGGAAGAGAAACTGGCCTGAGGTAATTGCCGGGGCGTCTCTTCGCACCTCATCATCATCATCAACAACCGCGTCGCTCTCGTCGTCGTCGTCGTCGTCGTCGTCGTCGTCGTCGTCGTCGTCGTCGTTGTTGTAGTCGTCGAGGGTTCGTGGGACCACCCGTTAGAGTCGCCGATTCCGTCGATTTTCGTCTGCACCGGCGTTGTCTTTTTGAAAAACTTTGTCGAAATTACGACAATCCCGAGCGAAACACTTTGCAACGGACAAATAAAGCGGATGATGAAGAACACCCAGTATTTCCGCGAGATGCTTAACGAGATCGAGTGTCACGCTAAAATATACGTGAATCAAAAGCGGATCATCCGGTCACGTGATTGCAATTAGAGAATCGCACTGTCATTATATTTTACGTGCCTTAACAGTGTTCAAGCCGAAAGTTTTTTTTTTATTCTTCAAGAATCAGAGCAAAGAATTTCGTCCGAATTAAAGCGTGCTTTCTCCCTGTGAAAAAAAAACCCGTTATTTCTCAAGGAGAACGAACAGCAAAACATATTGCTGATCTCGCGGTCCAAAAAGAAGAAGATCGATTAAACGAGACCGGGATAAACATCGGAAACACAGCCAGATAGTTGTCCGTTGTCGCCTCTGTGGAGGCGATCGTAGATCTTACCTACTGCGTCGAGATCCGAAATTCCAGCGTCGCTGCCTTGCGCAGAAGGGACGACGAAATTGAGTTCCTCTCGACGGCAACGAGATGGTGGAACGAGACGCGCCGCGACGCCCGTGGAATGCGAACGACGCTGACCTGGACCACACATGACGCCCGCGGTCGGTTCTAAACGACTATCGTGAAATACGATAATGCCCGTCGTTCCCGCGACGTTGAACACGGAATCTGAACTTGGACACGGAAGACGAGAGGTCGAGACTAGCAGACTCCGCGTTCTCCTTACGAATAACTCGGCTGTTTTGTGCGCCTTTTGATAGTTCGCATACCGCGCTATAATAGTGGCGAATCTACTTGGGGATCTTCGCGTTTTTAACGCGTCTATATTTGCCAACTTCTTTGTGTGACGCGTCACACATCTAATGACTTTCGAGCGATTAATATGTTCGAATTACAATGTTTCATTATAACAGAAATATTGTCTCAAACCGTTATATATGTAATATTTATTTATTATATAAAATCCAAACTTTTAGAAAATAATAATAGAGCCTTGTACAATTTATATTTCAAAAAAATATTATTAATTTGATTAAACAGAGTATTAAGACGAGCCAAATCACAAGATGTACTTGTGTCTCATTTTCATTCAGTATAAAACAAAAAATTTTTTTTATTTGAATCTTTTTCACTGTACAAACTACAATAATAAATTGAAATAAAAATTAACAAGTTAATCACAGCCCACGTATAATGTAAAATATAACTCTTTTGCTTTTTTTAGTAAAACACCAAAGACCACCATACTTACTTCACACTATAAGTTTACAAAATATACTCAACTTAATTAATTTGAATTAATTTGAGATTTAAAACATGATTGAAAAATAAAAGTAATTAATACATCATAAAGCAAAACTATCTTGTACAAAAATCTATTAAATATTTTGTATAATTGCAAAAAAAAAAAAGATAAACAAATTCTCTTTATACGCAGCGTATTCGCAGTACTTGTTAACGCCAATGTATACGCAAGATGTTACGCCAGTGTCTTAGCGCGATCGCTCGCTCTCGACAGAAACGATTATCGGGGATGAAAGAGAGCCGTGGCGAGCGAAATGGAGGAACCAGTCCCGTGTGGACGTGGCCGAGACACGGAGGACCGGAGGCGACCGGACGGACGATCGGACAGACGTACTAACCCGCCGCGCGGGATGAAAGATGGAGGAGAAAGAGAGCGAGTGAACAAAAGAAAAGGCGGGAGCGTTAACGGTAGCGAGAAACAAAGTGAAACTTACGAGCTGATTCTGATAGGCGGTGACAGCGGTGAATATGGCCTCCGGGAATATAAAGGTCTTGTGCGGCTCCTTCTCGAGGTCCACGATCGGCTTCGCCGTGCCCGAGTCCGGCCGCTTCACCAGGTGGATCCTCGGTTGATACTTGTGCATCGAGTTCAGCACCAGCTGCAAATTGTCCCAACTTACAACACCAGTCGTGTAGACATTCGCATAATGGAGGGATACACGTTCGCAAATAAACGCGCGGACCCGGTGAACGCTCGATTTTCCAAATAGACGCCTCTCCCTTCCCAATATTAGCACAAGGTTGCCGCGCGGGAAAACATTTCAAACATTCAATTCAGTGGGTATTTTTATTTTTTTTTCAGACACATCTGACATATGTTTAATATTGTATGCGTATCTCAAATATGTGATACGTAGTTAATATCAGTTGTTTCCTTTAAATATTCAAAAACCTTACTACAACAAAATGAATACGTGTGTCGATTTATTTTTTTTTCTTTTTTTTTGTATCGATTTATTTTTCTTCACATGACGCGTACAGTTAATAAATTGTTATTTTCGCGCATGTGAAATTCTATCCGTACGTTCGTCTCATGTCATAATTCAGAGACATAAATACGTATATTGCAATCCGAAGACTCTCTCAACGCGAGATTTGCGGGTGTCCGATTTCGTCCAATTAAGGCCGAAACGAAGTAACTGAACAATTCGAATGGACGACGATATCGGACATCGTCACACACGCGCGTTTTTTCATTTCTCCTCGCGTGCTTCGTTCTTTCCCATCCAGACCTTATTTTGAAGAGACCCCATTAGGGATCCTCGGATCGCTAACGGCTCATCTTTCTCCCGAAGACGTAGACGGCGAGATTACATCGAATTTCACGTTGACTTTCGTCAGTTCAAGAGATGTGAATCGGCGACGAAGACGCTCGATGGTATTAACAGCGGCAACAACAACAGAAAAGAGATCGGCCGCGTGAAGAAAAAGTGTATATGAATTAGGAGCACTTCGGAGCTCCCCGTTACCGTTCAAAAGAATCACTTTGCTCGCGTCTGGCAGCGTGTAACACCCTGAATACAAAATGAGTACCGTGAAGAAGCGCGCTGCCCCAATCGGAGTTCCTATTTACGTCAGTCATCCGATGAATTAAGGGAGGGGGAGGGCCCGATGCGCCGGCGAGAAAGAGGAGCTCGGGCTGACAATGAAACGGGCAAAGAGAGGGGGCCAGAAGAAGGGCGAGGAGGGTGAAGATGCGGCTGAGATTCTCGTGTCTTATGACAAACGAGACAACGGACTGTCAAATTATCCCGCGGAGCGACTAAATCACGCTACAATGAAATTCGTTTTGTCGGCTTTATTTTTCTCCTTTTCGCGCGCGACCAAAAGTTCGCAATTAGTCGAATTCTTAATTCGATGATATGTTTGAGTTGAAGGTCAAATAAAAAATGACTCGAAATTAATCGTTAAATACACTAATATTCATTGTGAAACGCAAGTGTTACTTTCACAACAGTTTTTATTATCTTATTTTTTAAATAAAATTTTATTTTCACAATGTCATCGCCGTTGAATTCCGCTAAATGCGAATCGGTTGAAGCAACTGTGTCATGTTATGGTTACGGGAAATAAACTTACGCGGAGAGTAAAATGTGAGTCTGAATACAACATAGAGGAAGGTAAGATATAAACGCTGTGTAAAACCTCTTCGCAACAAAATATAGCAAAACATCACATCGTATTGCGTTCCACTTTGCTGAACTTTGTTGAACCTAACAATCGATGCCGGTCGATTTATTAATGCAACAACTGGCGGACGCGGTAGGCGTGCACTCGCTGTCTTCGACGCCGGCGATGTCGTACTTTTAGCCGCAGCTGCGCCGAGTAACGTGTAAAAATTTAATGCGCGAGCTGTCGTAGATCGGCCACGTCTGCCATCGCGAGAAAACGTGGAAAAGTCTCTGTGAAACAGTCTGTAGAAAAATGTCGACGACTCGATAGAATGTTCGCGCGAGATAACGATTACAAACTGAACTAAGAGATGTGTCGGAAAAAAAACACACACTATTGCTTCTTCATCTTTTTTGATAAATTATAATCTTGTTTTTTTTTTTAATTTCAATAATAATTATTAGCATATCTAGTATGTCTCATTGGCATAACTAGTATACAAGTTAATAAATAAAATATATGTATAAATAAAAGATGTAGAAATAAATGTGCAGCATACACACCAAGAGACAGTTGTCAGCGAAACTGCTGCTATAAAACCTCTACGTTTACACAAGAACAAAAATAAAATAAAATATCCAATAAAAAATAATAAACAATTGAATACGCTAACAGAAAGGAGAATATAGATAATAAATTTGATTAGTAATATATTACATCTTACGACAAGAATAATTTTTACAGTGGTAAGTGTTGAGATGGAGGAAACAGAGAAGCGTCTCTACCAATTTTATTTCATTCGCTTTTCGCCGGTTCGCGCGTATCATTCAGAAGAACGATGGCAAGACATTTCACATAGCGTCGCAAATCGCGCGATTAAGTTACTCATTCTGTCGTTATAACAGCTTAATAATAGAGGTCGATCTTCGCGGCGGAGATCTGACAAGTGTCACGAGAAATTAACCAGAGATACCTCCGCGCGAGAAATAGACGGATGAGATCTTATAAATTAATTAATTCAATAAGAAACTTAACACATCCGTCGTAACACGAATTGGGAAACTGCATTTCGTCGAAGTTGACTTTTTATAGCAAACCGAGGCCGGAAGTGCAGAGATTATTCATGCGAAAATGAACAGCGCTCAACTGCTGAGGTTTTATTCACATGTTCATTGAGTTTGAACGCAAATAATTCAATCAGCGATACAAAACTAATATGCTTCTCTCCGGTACGTTTCTTATCTCTTTTTTAAAACATCTTTTAAAACTTGACGGAAATAATAAAACTTCATTTATTTACATTAATCTGTGCGATTGTATCTTAATGAAAAAAGTTGAGAAGAAATAAGTTTGTTGTCGCTTAGAAAAAATTTTTATACTCACGTGTCCGTGTCGATCCATGTCGTTATTGGTGAGCTTGACTTTCTCAAAGGATACGACCTGCTTTCGGAGCTGTTCGCCTGTGAACGGTGAATCCGGATGAACGTACAGCCGGGGTGGCGCCGGAGGGTCCGCCTTCCCGGCTACCAGCCAACAGCTTCTGTGATATGCGTACCGATACCTCTTGTTGTCGACCGGTACAATGTCCATCAGGACCGCATACCGACTATCAGCCTTTAGCCCGTTGAAGGACACGCGGCACGTCGGAAACATCCGCCTACAGCAAATACAAGAAAATCTTCGGTCAAAAAAAAAAAACAAGTCTAAAACTTCCAAAATCAAGCTTTTAAATTCAAAATTTAAAATTAACTAAAGCTCAATAGAGGTCGCTCGCATAGAGACAAAACTGGAACGTTTCTCTGAAATTCGACAAAAAATAGAGCAAACTGCTGTTTCAATAATCAATTCTCCGGGATGATTCGCGGATAATTTTAAAGGTTGACCTGTTCACGGTCATCGAAGATGTACGGGAAAGAGAATGACGCGATGAAGAGAGAGAGAGAGGGAGAGAGAGAGAGCAACGGGTCCAAACTAGCGATTATGGGCCAGGGGGGTCGCGAGGACAAGGGAAGTCTGGCGTGAATGTTTTGCCTCGGAGGCCAAACATTAATACCGTGTCGGGCCTCCCGCTGCTCGACCACTAAAACGCGGGGACACCCGCCGATCTTATCTACGTCTTCTCCTCGGTCCTTGTCGACTCGGTATGCATTCATCCCGCCAGCGCCACGAGTGTGAGTAATGCTTTTATTTATCAAACCGTCTTTTGTTAATGAATTGAACGAGGGAGAAGGTGAATCCTACTGTCCTCTGCCCTCGTTCGTTTTGCCTGATTTTCGACTCTTCCCCTCTTTTACGCGACCATTTCTCTCGCGACACACCAAGACCTCGAAGACGCCTGCGACTTTCTTCCAGCGGATTATCCGCCAAATTCCCAGTCGTAAGGATGTGTCTGAAAATTCAGTCTGCGCTTGCTAAAGGAATAAGAATCTTCGAAAATAAAAGGACATAAACTATCTTCCTAATTTTTAACACATTAATTTTGTAACGTAGATTTTTTCAAAAAATGGCTCAAGAACATCGAAGATAAGTGAAACATGAGAGCAAGAAGAACGAGCGTAAAAAAAAGAAGAAGAGACAAGAAGGTTAAAGAGAAAGAGGGGAGTCTCGCAAGATTGCTTAGGATTTGGCGGAAAGTCTCGAGAACGATAAGGGGCGGTAAGTTGACGGCTGAAGGAAGCGACGACCACAGTGTCGCTAAGACGCAGATCTAATTACCGACGCACGAGTAGGCGCGCATCCAGCTGGAGGAACACACCCTTTAGAGAAAGGAGAAGGAAGGATATCTGCGACGAGAATAAAGAGCGAGGGATGTTGGCTTCGTGGCGGGCAATTAGGCGCGCGTCGGCCGCGTCGTCCCTTACCATCTTTTCCGCCTCCTTTCTCTTCGCTTCCGGAGTTTCCCGCTTCTTCGGGAATCCTGATGGTATTCGTTGCGCGCGACCACTCCACCTCAAATCGCCCTTCTGGGCCGGTTCTCGCGACCCTTCCCGCATAAAAGCCTAATATTTTTCTTCGATTCACTGAGAACTTTTTGATTTGAAAGTAATATTTTTTTAACGCCTTTTGTGTGATAAAAACATTATGCAAAAACATCTCGGAAAAAAATGTGGAAACATATATGTATTATAAAGTCGATTATAATATTAAATAATCCGAGATATACAAGGTGATTGTGTATATATTTCACAATTGCTTTAGTGTAACATCTGGTAGCACACCTGAGACGAGTAAATATCTTTCGCACGACTACAGCCACGTCACTGTAAATCCTTTCTTTCTGTGAATAACGCGCATTTTTTGATTATCTCAAAGATGCATTTCATATTCCACGATCAAGTCATCTCGATCCGACACATTGATATAAAGGACTATTTTCCGTCAAATAGTTACCTTCGCGTCCGATGTTAGCATTTCCGTCGTTAAGTCGGAGATATATGTTTGAGGTGGTATATCGTGAGAGTCGAGACGAACGCGAACATAAAACTTCTCGGCCGCCTTCCGCGAAGAGGTAGGAGGCAGTCCCGAGATCCCTCCAGGACTTCTCCCCTCACAGTGTGATCCCACTCGAATCCTCACGCCTCCGGTCGCCACCGCTCGTTCCAAGGACCCTTATAAACCTGGCATAAGCTCGCCCGGTTTCTACACCGGCCCGACTAATTGACTGACGGTCAATATAGCAATTTAACCCACCGCTTGCCACCAGCTCGTTCCCCCGCTTTTTATCCTCACTCTCTCCTCTCCTGCCCTCCCTCCCCCTGCCCCTCTAAACCACCATTTCTGCTGCCCAGGTAGTTTTAACTCTTTCACAGTTTTGTATTACTAGACACACACACACACACACACACACACACACACACACACACGATATTTGTATATTCTTATTCTTTTATTTGCGCTGCATTATGTTACTTTCTTGTGATGCGCCGTTGAATTTGTTTGTTCCTAAAAAGGATGTCCTTTATAAAACGGAAATAATGCGCGTACGCACAACTAAGCTCACGTTTCACTCAGTCGATTGCCTTCTTGCGGTTTTACATTCTTAAACGAATTGAAAGTTTACGTTTGAAAATCTTAATATTCTTTTTCTCTCTCCCGTCGTTTTTTCGAGGCTCGTGATCTGTTCGCTGCAGCTGCAGAGTTTTTTTTATTCACCAGCGATACTTGTCGCAATAATAACGTCGCACAAACACAATCTCGCCGATCGTTAATTTTTTCTCTTTCTTCTCTCTTTATCTAAAATAACTTTTTTTTTTTTTATCGCGACAGATGTATATGAGAGATAAATGTTGGGAATTTTTATTTGTTTATCAAATTGTGAAAAAACTAAATTTCAATTGTGTTTGAGGTATAAAATTCTTTCTCAGAAACAAAGATATTGTTGTTTTTTCTTTTTTCAAAATTTTATCTTGTTCGATTTTTGTGATTGAAGAATCGTAATTTTAATGCGATTAGAACGTTTGTGCTTATGTTTCGGTGTAACGTGTCAGAAAAGTGACAGCTTGCTCAGAGTAACGACACCTCTCGCGCCCTAACCTTAGCCCGTTGTTATCGTCGGTGTCCCCTAAGGGAATTTTCGTGGGTGCCGTGTCGTGACCCATGGCAGGACGTGATTGAGTTTGCAGCGACATCGCCCCGGGGCGACGGTGGCGGTTTCGGAACGAAAGGGCGAGCGGCCGCGAGTAATGAGAAAGAGTCAATCGCCTCGACGTTGTCCAAGAGAAACCCGGCCTACAATGCATTAGTGGTACAACGTCCCGAGGGAATTCTCCGGACGTCAGCTGGCTGACTCGGGGATAGCGCTGTCCCCCAAGGAACAAGACTGGAATTGTTTCCACAAGGCAATCTTTCGATTGATTGCGAAACATGCGCGCAACACCTATCTACCCACTTTGATATTATCTCGAAAGAAAACGATAAAAATTGTATCGCAAACTGGAAACACAGGCTTAACAAGTGACAAATCACGATACGCGATGCATATTACGTGTGTATATAAACAAGATATGATTTATAACACATCAGTAATAATTAATAAATTTTAAAACATCGTCGAGTGAAAAATCCAGCAATCACCATTCGTGTGGTTGAAAAAGTGAAATTTATCGAACCGAATATCTCCGGAGTGACTCCGGTTTTATCTGTGATAACGAAATCAGCGTAGATCAATCTGGACATCGATCATTCCTCTCAAACAGCGGAAATCGATAACTCGAAACATGTTTGACTCACCTGCCGGTCTTTGTGATGATCATCTCCGTGCCGAGCTCGTTGAATTTGTCCCACAGATCTTTGGTCTCCAGGTGACAGACTACGTGTCTAAGTTCCTCGCAGTTTGAGCGTTCCTGGAGCAGAGGATTCACTACCGGCGAGACGGTGTTGCCGCTCGTGCTGCCGGTGTCGTCCGTTTCCGGCTCGTCCTCCGCATTGATCGTCTCGGGAATCGGCGGTGCACCGCGAGCGACCCCAGAACCGCTGGCTTCCCTTTCTGCAAAATCACAATTTTTGCAATTGCAACAACACTTGTGCGTCTCTTTTGATATTGATTAACATTTAAAACTCTCGCCGCGATACGTTGATACTAAATTATTCTGAAGAATATTATTCGTCGCTATGTCTTTACTATGAGTTATTAGCCACCTTGCAGCGCCGTGCTTTTTTATTCCGTCATCAGCGCGTCGCCGTTTCGAGCGGAAACGATCACGAAAGGGAAACCGCTTCCGGCACGAAATGCGATATAAAAATTGGCGGAACGCGTAGTAAAACTTCACCTCGAGAGAAGAGACAGTCGAGCTTAAGAACCGACATTTATCATCGCCCGTGTCATTGACGCTCGTTTTTATCCATTCAAGCCGCAGCTACTAAAATAGCGACATCAGCGAACGAAAGTTAAACGTGAATGAACCGCGCCTGATGAATATTTAAGAGTCGTTCAATTACAGGTATATCTCGCCGCTGTGTTTCGCACGACGATGATATTCTCTCCTCTTGCGAGAGTCGCGTCGCACTTTCGCCGCGCGGTTGCGCGCGGCGAGCGAAATTTAAAAACAACGTTCGCTCGTCGATTCGTAATTTACGGGAGGCCTCCCATTACCGCAAATTGTTATTAATTTTGTCCGAAGGAGCCGACGCGGACGCATTGCGATAACTCGATTCTAAATTACGTACGACAGGCCTCGGCATCGATTAATATCTTTTCCCGTAAGCGCTTTTACGCCGCGCCGCGTTCTACGTGCATCGTCAACCTCGCGCGAAAAGTTTCGCGATTTTTTGCGCGAAAGAAGTTCGCTGTTTACGTATGCATAGACGTTAATGAAAAATCGTTTTCGTGACGCGCAATTATTTACCGCTTACATTCGACGACTCTATTAGCGGTACGTAACGAAGGGAGTGTTTCGTCGAAATGAAGATTTTAATCGTAAATTAAATGAATGTTAAGAAGTTAAAAATGCCGATCGATATATCAAAGTAATGCTTTTTTCCCTGAACTCTACCGTCTCGAAAGATAATAAAACCTTACATTAATCCATATTAAACATTTAATTAACGATACGCATGCGACGTATCTTTTCTTTATTCATTAAAAGTTAATGTATTAAAAACTCTGTGTATACGTTTTTGTTTTTAATCACATCGAGATAGGATCGAATGATTTTTACTGTGTAAAGTGCGGAAGCGAGATAGTATCGCGAATGTGTCAAAAGCAGTTGAAAGATGTGATAACAGAGATGTAAAGGTTTTGAGAAACTTACAGTTGATTAGAATGACTCACTTGATTAATGCCTCGAATTAACTCGAAGACACCGCGGCATTGAGGCGTTTTATTTCGCGTAGATTTGCGCTAATCTCTCGCGTTTATAAGCGTAAATGTCTCGGTTACATGCGCACCGATGTAATGTAATGTTGTGTACAATTCTACGGCGTTCAATCACGTTGCAACGTAAATCTAAGCGTAATCCATTTGACGGTGGTTATAGGTATCCAGTTATCGATGATAATATATCGTCAGCGAAATAAATGACGGCTGCGCGATAAGCGCGCGTTCTTTCCGACGGTTCGGCATCGCGGCCGATTATAAATAAACGCGAACGCGAACGCGTATACACACAGGCGCGGGGAAACACGCCTGGCCTTACAATTATATTACGCAGATTACTTCCGATTTTAATGACGCAAGAGAAAAGTAATCGGCTGATAAAGCCGACATATTGCCGTCAGCGGTGATTAATTCTTACGCCACGACGCGCGGCTCGACCGCAGGAAGACGAGCTTTCCACTTCGAGATACACGCGAATTTCTAGCGGAACGTTGATTACGCGTCCCATCAAGATTAACTTTTCAACGTGTTGTAATTGTTGACGTGAGAATCACAGACTCAATTTCGTTTGAATGACTTTTATCCGCGTTGTTGAGATAAAACTAATCGTAAAGAGAGATGAAAAAAAAAAAAAAAAAAAAAATGAATGAAGATAATTTAAATGAAAAGTTATATAGCTAAAGTGATTATTATTTATCTTGATGGTTTTACGATACGAGTAAACTCGCGATTTATCTGCCACGTTAGTCGTCATGTGAAAGTATATTGCGATGTATGTGTTCTTTGTTGAATTCAGACGCAATTTTTCAAACCCAACGTTCCGATAAGGGCAACCTCTGCTTGCGGAACTGAGATCAGACTTATTTATACATCTAACGGGAGAGAGAGAGAAATCGCCATTTTAACAGGTCTCTTCTCCTGGGCGTAATTCGCGGGCACATATTTACCACGTGCGCCTTCGCGCGTTTCCATAGATATAAGAGCCGCCGCGCTGTTGTACTCGAGGAAACCGTAATAAACTTCGTAATGGGCAGTTACGAAGTACCGACTTGGCCGGTATGTCAGGTGCCGGCTATCAATTTCGCGCGTTGATGCCGCGCGCGAGAAATTAATTGTCCATTCGACATAAGGCGAAATCCGGCGTCGGTGTTTATACGACTTCGTTTTCCCGGTTTTCTCTCAGCAAGAATCCACGGTTGATCACCGCGCATTACCGTGTATTTTTCTCTTACCGGAAACGAGAACGCAAAAAAAAAAAAAAAAAAACAAAAGCAACGAACTTGTAGCGCCACTGCTACAAGTGACGCGAGACAATTGGAAACTAAAATTCTTTGATTAACTTTATGATATTTTTAATTTCACTGGATTTGCTTGTTTTCTCCGCTTCTAATAACGCCGTACTGATTTTGATATTGTGTTGTTGTTCGATATTATAATTCCACGAGCTTGAAATGAAAATCTGATTGAAGCAGATCCGCTGCGACATTTTTAATCTTTTGCGGAGCTTAACTGATACGCGCGCACAAACGAGGAAGTAACGCGGTGGTAAGTAAAGTCTCTTGGTTTACCTTAAGTTACGGGAGGTTATAATTTCACGAACCGCCGCTCCTTACGGCCGACATCATGCTAATAACGCTAAACTAAAGCAAGCTCCGTCGTAAGTGGATAATTATCCTTTTTTCCAGGCGCGCTCATTATGTCGCTCGCCGGCGTGTATGACCGTTGTGCCGTAATCGACGGAATCAATCATTTTGCATTTAATTACGACTAAAAGAGATGAGAAAAGAATTCCCGCAAAGCTCGAAAGACGTGCGATATTATTGATCAAAAACGATTACCGGCAAATACGTGTCACGAATTATCGTCCAACTCGATATGTAAATTAGCATCACGTCATTCGATCGTTACTTCACCTCGCATTTACACCACGCACACACACATTTCGCGGTAAATGCGGCTATTTGTTCCTCCGCTCACGAGCACCGTGAATCCGGTTTTTTTTTTTGCATTGGCGAAATAAAATCTCAATTTAAATCAGCAATAAATACGCAACAAAACGTTTCAATATACATAAATATAGATAATATTCTAAATGCATTTTTCAAATATTTTATATAGTTTTATATCTTTTATTTAGTTCTAATTTTTTAATAATAACCAACACTTTACTCTAATTTCATTTTGCTCGTTTTGACAACTGAACTGCTTTGGCGGAGGTTAAGGGGAGTTTGATCCGAGATATCGGGCGCGACTGTTTGCGCAATAGTAAACTACTCGGCGGCCGCAGCGTATAGCGGAATATTAGGTACGAATTACCACTTGCAATAACAGTAATCTTCATTCGTCGGCCGGCTTTTAGCCGTAAAACGCAGCGGAGAGTCCCTTGTGGTCGCCGAGCTCTGTATTTACGTTGCGCTCTGAGCTCTCTCGCGGCTGCGAACCTTTCAATATAGGAGGATCTTCGTCGACGGGGATTATCCGCACGCAACTCGTCGTTTTCACCGTGGAGAGGGCTCGATAACCACAAAGCAATAATTAATTACCGTCGGCACCGATACGCCGATTTATCGGCGATTATTACCCGGCGAGAGAGAGGCCTATACACCTGCACCGAGAGCCGAGTTGCGCGCGCGCGCGGCGTTTAACACTCCGCGAAGAAGTTATTTAACGGTCGCGAGATCGAGTATATAAATCCCGAAACGGCCGATCAATATCGCTTCATTAATACAACGCGATGGGCGTAGCCGGAATTATAGTTACACCTGCGGTAACGTGAAGATGTTTTCGCGCGGAATTTTTCCTTTTACGTAAGGTTATTCTTCAGAATCGTATAGTGTTTCGATTTTAATCTTTTGTTCATTTTAATTATAGGGTACAAGTAAATAAAGATCATTTTTTAAAATTCTTTCTCTCTCTCTCTCTCTCTCTAATCTTTTCTTTTTGTTTCTCTTCTTATCAGATTTTTTTATCAGAAATTAATAAGAAATCTAGAATGTCTTATCAGAAATATTAATAATATTATCAATTTACTCATAATATTATCAATTAATTGAATTAATTTGTTTTTTAGTAACATTGTGCGATGCCGGAATTAATGATTTATTAGAAACATCAAGAATAGTTCAGACAATATCGCGTGCACGCGTCACTCGTAGTTTAGAAACGATAATCACCGACGACGCGACGTGCATCGCGACACATTACTTCCCGAGAACATCGCGTGGTCTGGAAATCGAATATGTTTCTTCGCTTAATTACGGAGAGGAACGACAACGAAGGGAAAGAGAGAATCGGCGTCCTCTCGGATATCCGTGATTAAGTTGCCAGCGAGGGTCGCGCGTCTTGACGCGATAAGAGCCCCGCCATCAGACGGTATACCTGCTGCGTCACGTCGATCGCAAACATATGTACGCGAACCCGCGGGTTTTTCGAGACATCGCCGACACAAGTACCTAATAAGCGACCGGCGTAAACCGCGCGTTATATAAAAGTGACGCACCGTAGGCGACGTGACGGTTCAATACGTCGCGAAGCTGTCAATTTCCACGTGTCAATCTATCTCAGTCATTTTCTCTACACGACAGTTTTACTTTTTTTTTTTTTTTTTGATAGAATTTTATACTTATATATAAAAAAAAAATTAAGATAAGAAACCAAAGATCAATTTTAAA